TGTTGGACATTAAGTACAGATCGTGATTTGGCGTTTTGAAAGAGTCAAAGAGAGATATTTACGTCCATTATTTCACGCATCGCCGCTTTGCGAGATGAAAAATAAGAATTGAAAGGCTTCAATGTTGGCTGAATGGTTTAGTTTAAAGTCTCTAATTGTAAACGCCGCAAACGTATTGTAAATTATAGCGGGATAATTGGTAAAAAGTGAGAGGTTTTGTAAAACAATTCGAGTAAGTCCATCATAAATGGGTCAATGAAACGCGATATAAAAGTACCTGAAGCAGTGGCGAAATATCAGCCATGGAAAACAAAAATTTAACAAAACTTACATTTGCATCTTATAATTAACTTTTTGCTTTGCAGATTATATTTTGAGTAATTTCAAGTTGAATTTTAATGTAAATGGCATTTTTTTATGGTTTTTGTTTGTCGATTTGGTCGACTGAAAATTTCGCAAGGCACTAAATTTTGTTTAGGATGGTTGCAGAATTACCTCATATTGGTATTCACATTTTTAATAGGTAATTCAGAGGAGATATGGCAGATTTATTCAGTATTACATTATGACCAGTACATCCGTTTTGAAAAATGTTTAATTTGACGCGCACCTTGGTTGTCAGAATTCAATTTAGGTACATGTGAAATCCGTAAATTTTGGTTCGTTAATTTGTTTAGCATTTCAAAAACCAGATTTCTCAAGCATAAGTACTTCAAACGGATTTTTAAAAACCTTCCATATTAGAAGGAAAGGTCATTCAAAGTTCATCTGAATTTACAACCGAAACCTTGCCAAATGTGAGAAACATCTTATTACAGCAGTGTTACTTTCGTATATTTTAATGCCCACTTTTCTCTCACACACCACCCTGCCCACCACTTTTGGGACAGGGATGGTGCACCCTGTACCATACCAACAATAGCAGGTTCAACTAATTTTTATCGTAATTCTCCCGTGATAGAAAACAACCGTTTATTTGAAATTTATAATTGGCAGTGGTCACATTTTCCAACTTCATTTGGGGATATTTTTTACTAGTTCAGTATAGATTTTTTCACGAATCTCAAAGTTTTGTTCTGAGAACCGAGAAAAACGTTAGCGTATGAGAGTTAATTAACGTAATTGATAATTGAAAAAGTGACCTTAAGATTATGATTTAGAAAATGTCGCGTCTGATGTGTCACTCACACTTCATTTCGTATATTTGTTAATGTATAGTTCGATTACCCAATCTACATTTGATTATAAGTGGGACAATTGCACAATTACTACTATTTTTATAATGTCATTAGGATAAATCCAATCTGGTATTCGAGTGGCGTTTGCAATGGCGAAACTAGCAGATGTGCTACAAAAATTCTTTGGTTAGAATTAATATTTTCAAAACATGCGTAGCTCACATGCAGCAATTAGTAGTGGATGGAAATGCGTCTTTGTACGAGTATATCGAATCGAATAAATAGGGTAACAGACAAACGCTATGAAAAAAAGTATAATGGCCGCTCGAGCAGTAGGTATCAAATCGAAAAAAAGTAATCAACATTTTGTTACAATAAATGATCTCTAAGATAGAACTTTCTTATTGTTTATGCGAACCTATACCGCACAAGTTTTCCAGAGAATTGAAGTAATTTTCTTAAAAATATTCCCAAAAAAAAATTTCTTGAAAAGCTTTTTAGCACTCCTCTTTGTAATCCTCGGCATTTTCTCTGTTAATATTTCCCTTAAAAATCTTTTTGGACCACTTCCTACGAATTGACTAGAAATATTCCAGCAACTTTGCTGAAGGATTTGTTATACAAAAATCTCCTTTTTGGGCTTTCTGAAGCATTAGAAATTTCCTTTTTATAGAAAACATTTTGAAAATATGTATTACCAAATCCCAAGCCATTTCTTAGATACACCTTTGTCAAAACCTTAAACATTTCATGAAAATTCTCTTAAAAATTTACCCTTTTTTTGGGAATTTTTTAGAAAAGGAATCTTTAAACTTGCAAATGAATTGAGGTAATAAAGGTTTATAAATAACACCCCTCCTCAAAGAACACCTTTGGCTCTCATAAAGTATTCGAAAATTCGAAAAAACTTTTTGGAGATATTGTCAGGTCTCAGGTCAGTGCGACATTTATTTAGTAATACTTTACAACGTGAAAATATAAACGTAGTAAACGAAAAACGCCTAAATGTGTTTGACCCCATTACGCTAGCACACAGTTCCTTTTCTAATGGTGTGTAGCAGCTGTCCACAAACCCCCTGTCGATTGAAAGACTAACTATTTGTACATTATTGTATTTTTGTACTTTATGTTAATGTTATACTTGGTTGCGTGTGTAATTCGCTTTTCCCCTTTGATTTACAGAAAATTTGGTAACTTTTACACAGGTGATCTCGCAAGCCAAATTTCCACCATAAAACGATTATAAAATCGTTGTGTTATTCAATCGAATTAATGTTCAGGAAGAATGTGGAAAAAGCGACGTAATTCGATTCGAATCCAATTACGCGAAATTTGCAATTGAAATTTTCCGGCGTCTGTTTGCATATTCATTTTCATTCGCCGCAGATTTACATAGCCGAGAAAAACAAAAATACCTCCCATCATTATCCCCACAACTTAATACCAATCATAAACGCGAATTAACTTTTACAACGCGTCCACATTGCCACATTTCTTTACTTAAAGTGACAATAATTAGAGCGTAATGGCGAGCGAATTAAAAACGCGTCGTTAAACGGCGTATCAATTAATCTGTGCGGTGATAAGGAGATTTCGATATAGATTAAATCAATTCAATTTACCCGAAATTTATAGCGTCATAAAGCGATACAAGCGTAAATAATCGTTTAATTGGACAATCCAATTAATCAATTAACGTTTACAGAGATTCTTCGCATTCTTCCCTTAACGAAGCAATTCGACGGCGCAATTAAGATTGGGATTAGACGTCGCGAATTAACGCGATTTCCAAATTCTTGAAATGAGCACGATTGTTTATAAAATGTAGACATTGTTAAATCTGTTAATTTATTTACTGTACAAGACAGCTTTGTGGTGGGTTTGACTTTCATTCAATTTGCATACTAATAAGATGTGGGCATTGATAATATATGTATACGTAATGTACAAGATAATATTTATTGCTTTTCTCTTAGCGACGGAATTAGAAATTTGCCAACCGAATGTTGGAAAACGAACTAAATTAGTGGCGAGCGCAGGATCGTACCTTATCTTGGTAATGATTAATTGGACTGGGAATTTGTGGTGGCAAGGATATACTTAATAAGGGTACGTTTTCCATTAAAGATCAAATTTTCGGAGACCCTTAAAAAGGTCGATTGTGTTATCAACATTTAAAATTAACTCGACGCAATTAAAGAGATTTATCACGAAATTGCAATCGAAAATATTTATTGAACTGCTCTCGTATGCACGGGTCATTACTCGGAATTATAAAAAAAAGTAATTTAAAAGAATCGATTAAATAAACAGCATCAACAAATACCCAATTACCAAAGATCACCATCGATCATTTTTATCTTACCATACGCCTAGAAGCAATAAAATTGTTTAAGATTCCTTGAATAAATTACGCTGTACGCAAGCATCCGAAATTCTTTTCGTATGTACATGCGGTTAAATTTAATAACTTGGCGCTCGAGTTTCTTCTTGATTGAGTTAACAAACAATTACTATTTTAATGGCGCCGAGTGATTTTTAAACAAATATAATTAAGCCGAGCAATATAAACTGTCCATACAGATTAAAAGATCAGATCTTCCGAGAATTATGGAACTCCGATAGCCGTTATCGGTGCAGTTACGAGGTCACAATATATATGTAGTTTTTAGTGATTAGATTTACTTATTAACTGAAAAATAATGTGAGCTATTACTACGTTGCGCTTGATTATCAGTGTAGGCGATGATTCCACTGAAAATGTGCAGGAAGAAAAATAAAAAAGGAAGTTTGCATGATACAGATAAAAATTTGCAAATTTCAACAGTCTAAAATTAGTAATTAATTATAGACACTAACGTATTAAGTGCTACTATTCCCATAATTACTTTAAAAATACGGAGGGTCATTTAAACATATGTGAAAATGAAAATTGCCGCTTAGAAGTTCTATTAAGAGCAGTTATTTATGCACCAATTTTTCTGGAAAAAAATCAAAACTGATGTACAAAGCAAAAAAATCAATGAAGTTACGGGCATAAATGAAAGCATTAATATGTGGTTGTATGCCTCTTTTTTTAAACAAGATTAGAACTTAAAAATATCCCTTTCAAACATAATCGAGGATTAAAAAATGCTTTCTGGACATAGTAAATTTTTGTCTAGTGACACATGCAGTAGTTACTTTTCCTATACCCCAAAAATGCAGTTTGGCCTAAGATCCTAAGAAATAATGTTGAACGACAATTTTATTAGAACTAGAATGTAATACTAACCACAAGGTGAGCAATGCGGTTACGATTCCCCACACCATATGGGAAGATACCTAAATGATAGGAAACATAGTGTGCATTTCAAATTCGTTTTTACAAGTAGGTACGAAAAATACTTTTAGTATGTTGCACAATGCTCTCTTGCTATTCGAGGGGCTGCTTTCCCAAAATCTAAATAGAAATTGTTGTCCAATACTTAAACCCAGACTTAAACGAAAATCGGAAGTTAGAGACGTAATTTCAACTTGTTTCACTTTTTTGCTCAGCGTGATCTCGAAGATTGAACCAAGGAAATACATTATGATTTCCTATAGTTTGTGGGTTGATATTAAAGAGAGACGGTCAGATATTAAAAATAGGGTGGCAAACTTTATTTTGGGGATGGATATCCCCTGCTTTTGATAATAATTGAGCATCTGCTCCCTGTACGATTTTAAAGTTTTAGTGTGACTTTTAAATCGAGATATCCAAAGACGAGTCCAAAGATGTTACCTGTACATCAGTTAATCAAGGAAATAGTCACTCTAACAGAATTTATGGACACCACGTACATTTCGTCTGGTTGAAGATGACGTTAATACTTTGGACCGCACGACGCATCCAAGGGGCAACATCTGAAATATATCGTAGAACAAAAATCTGATTAAATTACACAATTAAGTATCAGGGGTAGTTACCTTGTCAACTGCCGGTATACAAGCCTTGATTGTCAATGAGCATCACTCGGAGCATCATTATTTTTACACTGCAACACTGGTAGTCTTAACGGTGAAGTTTGGGGCGCAATACCGACTTTTAAATTTAGTCGAGAATTTAGTCATAACGTCCACACCTCTAACTCTTTTTCAATTCTGTTAGGGAAGCGATAAACCGTACCTAGAACAGGAAGAAATGCTGTGGCATTATGGTACAGAAAGTGATTGACAGGAGGAGATTCGGTGAAAACGTTCTCCTCCTTGTCCTTTTATGCTTTGTTTAATGGCTAGAATAGAGTATATAATGACGCTATAGGTCTAGAACGTTTTACACACATCGAAAAAGAACCATAATTAACGGAAGGCACAGAAATTGGACATGGATCCATTCTTCTTTCAAATTATTTACAGAACGGTTTATCCCGAAATCACTGTAGGTACGTTTGGTTCGAAATCCTGCCGCTATCCTGCTGAGTTTAAGGAAATCCGAATTCCCAGAAATCTCGCCGAAATCCCCGCAATCCTGCCGAATTCAGTGTACGTTCTGTTCCCAATTCTCGGCGAAATTCTCCACATCTTTTGCACGTGATGTGATAAAAATATAAGTAGCAAGTGTTCAAAAGCAAGATGTACATACTGTACAGGCAGGAAAATTTACATACCAACGTAGTTTTTATGATCTATCGAAAGAAAATATTAACATAATTCCGGTTTTCACATTTTCGAAATCCACATGAAAATCTACGTCGTTTGATACCACATTTCCCTATATCAAAGGTTTTCAAGTTATTCAAGATTTTTCAAAATTTTTGACGTCTGTCGTCCCGTACCTACATATGACTCCGTTGACTTGAATTTCAAAAAGTATTCCAAAATCGACAGTACTGACTTGATGCTGCGTGACAATTATTTAAATTTTGGTCGCTCCTCTACAGGGTGTTTTAAAACAAACTTTACGAACTTAAAGGCGCTTTTTTCTCGGCTTTTTTTCAAATGAAACATGCGAGGAAACATGCTTTATTTTTTGTACTTTCAAATGTCAAAAAAATACTTATTACCGAGAGTATTACATTCCCTATACCTATCTGCGAGCCTATCTGTTATGCTTTCCGTTTTATTTTAGATTTTCTAAAATTATGACCGTTATGCATAATTTTCTTAGGAGGTCTGGAAGTAAATGCGTTAGTAGATTTGTCATCCCTTTTTATAGACTGTTATAGTTGTTATCGAGGTTGTTATCATTCGTTGATAGTTATATCACTAAATTAAAATGAAAACCTTCCTATTTAATGAATAAAGTAGTGAAGTAAAGTTAAATAAAGATGACATAATAAACAGAAACAGGTAATAAAGTATTCATAAGTTAATAACAAACGACAAAATAAAAAACAAATATCAATTGAGGTTTTGTTCTACGTTGCCACCATTTTTTTCAATACATAATAGGATCCACCGATGAATTCCGTTGGTTGTCGCCTCTCGAATGTCTTACTGCATTCATTTCATCAAACTCTCTTCCCACCCCAACTTCTAGTTCTTCACGAGAAGCAACTGGTGTGAAGTAAACGTTGTCTTTATGTGACCCCACACATAAAAGCCCAGTGGCGTTATATCTGAAGATCTAGAAGACCAACGCCACGGACCCCAATTCACCTGTCTTCAAAAATGTTCGTCAAAGACATATAAGCATCATGGATAGAATGATCCGGTGCTCCGTTATGTTGAAACCAGTTGTTTTCTTCATGTAATGTCTCAAATAACGATACAATAACATCTACTCGAGCATCTACTCTCATTGCCCCCTAAGAAAATTATTCATAACGGCCACAATCTTAGAAAGTCTAAAATAAAACCGAAAGCATATAACAGATGGGTTCTTATAGGGAATTAATCAATGTAGAATTTTTTTTTGAAAGTTAAAAAAAATCTCAAAAAAATATAGCATGTTTCATTTGAAAAAATAAACTTTTTAAGGTTTGAAGTTATGACCATTAGTTTTAAACCCCTGTAGAAGGGTGAACAAAATCATTTTCATGTATCATCAAACCAGTACTGTCGATTTTGGAATACGTTTTGAAATTCAAGTCAACAGACTACGGAGTCATAGGTAGAGGCCGAGATAGAGGCGGGTAGAGGGCTCAAAAGAATAGTAGTCAAACGTCAAAAAAATTTGAAAAATTTTGATACTGGGTATTTCGCTGGGTTGTGGTATGAAACGACGTAAATTTTCATGTAAATTTCAAAAATGCCATAAAATACAGGGTGTTCTATTTAAAATAAAAAAGTTGCTATTGACATCCGTTAGAACCGGAAGTGAAAGGATCATGATAATATTTTCTTTCGATAGAAAACTATGTACCTACGCAAATTTTCAGATTTAATTTGTCAATGAAAGCCTGAATACTTTTAGGTAACGGTATGCGTGAAACAGCCTGTATAGTGCACAGGATAGTGCACTAAGTTCTCTAGCGCATTAGTCTAGTGCTTCAACTTAACGCGGGCCGCCTGTAGTTATTATACAGTGCATCTTAATTAGGTACCTACATTATTGAACATCGTGTGTGACCTAAGTGCGACCGTGCGACCATATACGTCATCAGACATTTTACCTACCATTTTATTAAATTTGGGTTTCCATTATGTTAAATATTTGACATTATACGTCCCCGTGGTATAGTGAATCAAATTTTAAGACCGACAATCCCACCAAATTTTCTGCAATCCCTCCGAAATCTTAGGATATCCGCAATCCATGTATACATTTCAGCTGAAGCGGTTACCCCTTCTGGGTTTATATTAGTAGGTAGATACTAAAAGAAAAGAAAAAGAAATTTTCAGGAATGTCTAAGAAATTCTTGTGCGTGTGAATGTCGGAAAATGTTCAGAAGGTCTGCATATTTTCAGGCACATTTTTTAGAAGAGTCGTTTGGAGGTTTAAAGTTTTAAGAATCAGAAGTCCCATAGGGAATTTTGGGGTAAGTCGATGTCGTCAACATATTTACTTTCTAATCCCATACGCAAGTCTCAAGAAGGTCAGCAATTCGAAGTGGCGAATTTGGGAATTGTATGAGAGCTCTAGGAGATCTTGGCAACTTTAAAGAATTCTCGAGTATTCTGGAAAACAGCTCTTGGATATTTTCAAAGATATTTTAGTAAATAAACTCTTGAATGATATAGATATAATTAGGACCGCACAGTGTGATTTAGGCTCGGATTTAGGTATATGGAAAATACCAAAAATATTTCACTCCCGCCTTTGCGCGTCACGATGGCTCCCCTATGTTACAATGCCACCCGAGATGCCACTGAAATATTAAGGAGTTTCTAAAAAATCCCGGTATTCAAACGAATCCTGCTTAGAAATGCGTATGCAAGGAATAGTATATATCTCGGTATATACTTACAGGGTGACACTTTTAAAACTTTCAATGGGCGATACCTTTTCTTTTACAGATATCACTTGATCGCCAAAACCTCGGCCAAAACCGTTTTTGGTAAACCGAGGGGGAAACAAAACTCAACCCCGTTCCACTCGCTATCACCATTTCTACATTTTGAATTGCTACGTACCGTTTGTGGCACATCATTGGAAAACTCTTGAAAAATGCTCTTTCGAAATACCAACCCTAACACATTTGGACTGGCCATTCATAATGAATTTAAGCAAAAATGAGTAATTTAAGTATATGTCGTGCATTTTTACTTTGTTTAAATGGCAATGTGAACGTGAAAAAGGGTGTACTCGACGGCGTACACCATGAACGACTTACACAAATTAACATCTGGGCAAGTTATAACGGCGGTCCTCTATTTTTCAAAAAAAGACACAGTATGGCACCACGACTTCCAGATCACTTCAGACCACTAGATTTCCTTCTTTATATACAAAACCTCGTATACAAAACAGAATCATAATTGCTTTAATAAATAATCTTCGAAACAGAATAGTCAGGAAGTGCCGTCCAGTTTCCAGGGAAGTGTTTTCAAGTGTGGAAAACTGTATGTGATATTGGTTAGCGCGAACATCTTAAAGATTTTATTAAATATAAATTATTTCGGAAGTCATTTATTTGTGCACCTACTCGCTACTATGCGCGCAGACTGAGTTTTAAATTTATATTTTTGTTAAATAAACATGTAGGTAATGATTATTACTAACCTCGAATCGAATATTACTAACCTCGAGAATCTGCTTTCCTCCCTCCTGGAAAAATAAGTGTTGTAACATCTTCCATATTCTTCAACAATTATGAGACTGATTACAATATGATCGTGAATCAAAAGTCGAGTCAAATGTAGGTATTAATCTCGGTATTAATTGACAGTCCAGTGCCAGTGTATGGTATTTCTGAAGAGCATATTTTACGAACTTTTTTATAATTATGACAAGTGATACGTTACAATTCAAAATTTAGGCATGAGGCAGACGGGGGCACGGGGTTGAAGATTGCACTCTAGTTATACATGGCGATTTTGGTTCCCCCTCGATCTCGCCTTCGATCCTATCGAACGGTTTTGTCCATTTTGTGCTCTAATTGAAAAAAAAAGGGTTACTCTTTTCAAGGTACCATTAGCTTCAAATTTTGTGTGACGGTTCCTTCTGCAACCCATCGTATCTCGAAGTTCTGAATCTCATTGACTCATTTGACAAATGGATCAACTGAAGACGAAAGCAATGGGGCACGAGAGGGGAACGAGATTTACTCGGAGATTTTTTTAGAAATGTCATGCCATTCTTGGCTTGTCACAAATGGTTAATTTTATTGAAAAATTGGCATTGTTTTTGAAAAATCACAAACATACCTAACACTGTCTGTTTTACGATTTTTTTCTAATTTTTGCCTGCTTTTGAGAGTTTTTGAAAATTGAAAATTTAGCAAAATTCTGTGAAATTCTAGCGAAATCCCTCGCACGCACCCTTAATTCGGCTATTTTTAAGACACAAAATTAGTGCCTCAAGAATATAAGGAAATTTGCGAGGGAAATTGGAAAAAGCTGCGATATTTAGTCACTTGTAGGTAATTGAGAACGTCCATTTTTCCAGCGAAATTGGTGGTTATGAAAAATAAAAGGTTTTGGCCTCTGTCCCTAGTCTATTCCAAAATAACCTATACAACTGCAAAGCTCCCGTCCAATGAAATTGACAAATTATTCCAAAAATGCCCAACAAAATTCTGCTAATTACTTATCAGAAGATTATTTTTAATAGAGTGAATTCCGATAATCTCTGTAACCATTGATGGAGAACGTAATAAAAAATTAAAAGGCGAAAATGACACAACTTTAACGTCAAATTTATGAGGCGAGGCGTCGCAAACTAAATAAAATTTTATGGATCTCTTCTTTCCAAGTTTCTTTGAAAAGACACCCCCAATATTAAGTTACCCTGTCGACCAACAAAAAAACTAACAAACAAAAATTCAAGAGGCTAATTTAAATTTTTAATTCCTTCTAAATCTCGGATTTTTTTCGGCGAGGTAAACGGAGTTGTCCGCCTCGATGCGGGAAAATTCAATCTGTTACTCTCTTACCGAGGGGAAAACCCTCCGCGCCACGAAAATACTCAATACCGGAGAGTTTCAACAGCGCCCCCAGCCACACACTTTCACACTTTAATTCACGTAAACTGCATTTGTTTTCCGTATACTTAATCAGACTGAATGGAAGATTACCTTGAAAGGCGCAAAGTTAAATATAGCAAAGTGCGAACGAAAGCCAAAAAAACGCGAGATGTGCATTTTTCTCATCTCGCGATCCCGCCGCACAGGAAGTTTCAAACAAACACCCACACAAACACAGACAACTTCTGGTATATACATATATATTTACTAACAAGGTGCTGCTTACCTCGTTAACGCCGCAGTTTTCAATTAAAAATCCAATTAAATCCCTGGCGTTCCAACATTCATCACAATTTTCACTCGGTAGCATTTTATGAGTAATTTTCACAAACTAAATCCAATTAGAGCATGATTTTTTTAGTCACCCTCGTTTTTAAAGTGTACATAGATCCACACGTGATTACGACACCAAAAACGGCACAGCCTCACCCGAGCAACCTCAAATTCAAACTAGAGTCAATTTTCTCGCTTTCCTTCCTCGCCTTGAATTCATAAAGGCGAACGAGCACGATACACGGCGAATGTTCACGGCGTATATTTATAAGGTGCAATTTTATAAGAAATTTTATCCCTTAAAAGCCCTTATGCAAGTTTGTCCCACATCAAGGGGGAAGGTTTGACAAAATTCAATTTTGCCACGCTGGATGAGGGTGTATTATTTTGTGAGGTATTCGCAACGTCTCCATGAGAGCGCGCGCTTGAAACTAATTCAAGATAAATTACCCACCTTTATTACCGTGGCGAAGCAGAAAAAAACATCCCTTTTACTCATTTTTCATATAATTTGAATTTTTTTGTCAATGGCGCACAGCTGGTACATGTACTGTTTTTTACCCCTATTGAAGCTTAGTTGCATTAAGGTCCAACTTTCGAAAGTTTGTGCACCTACTTCCAAATGCTTAGTATTTTATTGGCAATAATGTGGGTATAATTTTTAAGCAAGATCAAGATAGTTAACTGGGGAAAATTACAATATTCTTTACAAAGACGTGCATTTCAGTTGTTCCCCACATTTACAAAACCGAATTAACCCTTAACACAATACTTTGTGCTGATTTGTATGCCAACTTCCACTTTTTGTGGAGAATTCTCAATACGAGTTTTACAGCTCTCATCCAGAATTAGAAATTTAGTACCATCGTTGAATCTGGTTAGATTTTCAGGAATTGACATCTCTTTTGATGTCGAAGAATCGCGTATGACTCCTTGGACAGAACTTTTGATTTGGTTGAGTGTTCTTTTCATCGAACTCATCAATGAAAGCATCTCTGTGAATCTGTGACGAATTCAGGTTTTTTTATTGTGGCAAATCTTCGCCTTTTCTGTTACACGTTTTTTCCCTTTCACATATTTTAACTTCTGTAGCGACTATACGTTTGATCTGCATCTGGAGCTTTGGTGATCACTGTAATAATTAACCACAAAACGTTTATAGTAGGAAAAAAAAAATAAAACGAATTGTAAATAACTGACGTTAATGAAACACTTTTAGTACAGGCAAATTGTCCAAAATAGACAAGAAAATTGCGAAGTAGTTGAAACTTGGTATAGACCTTTGAAAATACGTATATTTCAAGGAACCGAAGAGTCCCTAACCACAAGTAGTGTGCTGGAGTGGTTATGCTCAAAGAACGTAGGGTGAACTGGATTTTCACTTTTTTAACAGAAAGTGGCAGTCAAATCCTATTAAAAAATACTTTGTGACATTTTTAGCGCATTTTTTAAGAATTAAAAAAATGTGCTGTTGTTTGCGTTTTGTCCGTCCGTCAGTGCGTCTGTCCGGACCCACTTTTACCGTTTTGAACTACGTCTAGGGAAATGGTACTAGAGTCCTGGAATTTTTTGCAATAGGTAGCCTATATCTTGAAGGTGTGCCAGGCGGCCATCAAATTTCGCTGTTTTAAGGCCTCCCACCATGAATTATTTCCTGAGTTGCTGTTTTTGATAGTAAAACGTGCATAATTTTTATATACGAAAACCAATTGGTTTGAGATTTTGTACACGCATGCCTTTAGTGGTGCCAAGTAAAACTTTTATAAATGAAAAAGGGGGGGGGGGGAGGGGAGGTAAACACTCGTTCTACCTTTCATGGTGTTATAATGAAAGGTCTCATCGAAATAAATTGGTGTGTACAAAGTATTACTTTCCCGCGCGACTCTTTTTCGGGATCAGTGTGTGACGGGGTCGTAAAGATGTTTGCAAATTTGCTCCATGTATGCAACCGTACACGAAATAAGTTGTAGTACACTTGTACGGATAGTCCTCGCGTAAAGAGTGTTCTAATAATGAGCCGTTGATTTTCTTCCATCCCCACTTCGGTATTTTGTTACTACCAATCCATATCTGAATTTGGTAGAATATTCGTGAGTAATGCTGAGCAGCGGCCACTCAAGTTAGTGGTAATAATTCGGCCCTGATTTTTGCTTTTGCAGCGATTTTTTAAATTGGTAAAACCTATATGAATTAACGGAAGATTCCAAATTTTCTTCGCACTGTATACCATCAGAAAAAGTCAGGGAAAAATGAGTTCACCAGCTTCTCTTACTTCTGATGGGGTTGAAATTTTGGTCATTGAAGGTTCTCATTATAGCCAATTGCATTTTGTTTTGCAAGAGTTTGAAAAATTGTAATTCTTGCTTCTGAAACATACAATATGTGGTATCACTACTGCAAAAATGTTCTTTTTAGTTTTACCTTTGTCTGAATTTATCTTTATATTTTTTGGTGTTAAAGGCAAGAGAACAAGGAGATCAACATCCTCGCCGACTACACGCATGTTCGTCCATTTTTAAACATTTCAATTGTCTCATACTTTCATTAAAAACAAACCGATACAACGAAATATCGAAGGATCCTCAGGATTACCATCACTTTTTAACGTCCATTTATTTTCATCTTGGAAGATACATATAATCAACAAAAATGCATCAATTCATGTCTTGGGCATTGAGATAATGCTGTTAGTGTTTTTCCAAACGATCTTGGTGAATAAATAATGATTTTGAAATCTTTGATGGAAATACGATACATATGGCCACCAAAAAAGGCATTAAATTCATGTCTTGGCCATTGAGATACTGTTCTTGGTCTTTTTCCCAACGATTTCCGTGCAAGAATAACAAGTTTGATATGTTTTGAGCAGAACACGTCATAAACAGCAGAATGTTGTCTTCCTTATTTCACTGGTGCCTTTAAACACTGAAAGTGGATACGGAGCAAGTTCTTACTTGAAGAATTCCGCGAGATCATCCTATTGGTTCTGCGTATACGGTAAAAATCCGATCCGGGAAAACTTTACTGTGTGAACGAGCCGTTACGACAGGTGGGCCAGCGGCGCGAGGGTTTTTAAACCTTCATTTTGGGCCGAGCACACTATATAACGCTAGGGACTCGTCGAATTCTTAAAGAGAATATATTTATGTATAAGGATATTTGATGAATTTGGATACAATTTGACTGTACTATTTACCGTCTTTTCGTTAACCTACAACCACGTTATGCACTCTCTTCATGGTTTTTCCTTTTTAGCGCATTTCCACAAAAATAAAAAAAAAAATGCGCTATTGTGGCCACTTTGTCCGTCCGTCCGTCCGTCCGTCCGTCCGTCCGTCCGTTCGTCCGCTAACTTTGCGACGCTACTAGTTTTTTATCTTAAGAGCTATTGTTCTACTTTTTTCGCTATTTGGTTCGTTATGGTGTAGAGTCTTGTACCAAGGAAGGAATTTTTTCTGTACCGCTTACAAAAAAAGTTATTGTAAAAAAAACAAAAAACCGTTTTTTTACATGTTCCATAATTTTACACTTTTGCCGTTTATTAACGATCCTAGAGATCGTTTATAATTTTGCATTGCTATCTGTCGCCTGCCTGTTGGTCTGTCCGTCTGTTCCTTTGTCTGTCTGTCCATCTATCTGTCCGTGTGAACGATAACTTTGTTTAGAAATGTTCGATCGCTTTTACATCTCTCCGTTAGTTATGAACTGAATTGCATGAAATTCAATATGGGCATAGCTTTAACCATATAATACGCAATGCCAAAAGTTGAATCGAATCGATTCAAAATTCACAGTGCCCTTTTCGCATCTCGACCATTTATAAACCGAATTGCAAACTTTTTACTTATAAAAGTATTTGAATGAAATTTGATACATAGGCACTTGGAATAAAGGAAAATCAAACGCAAATTTCAAAATTTGGTTTTGCGCATGCGCAGTGCCAACTTTTTTATTTATGGAAGAATTTAAACGAAATTTGATACATAAGCACTTCGAATAAAGGAAAATCAAACGCCAATTTCAAAAATTTGGTTTTGCGCATGCGCAGTGCCAACTTTTTTATTTATGGAAGAATTTAAACGAAATTTGATACATAGGCACTTGGGATAAAGGAAAATCAAACGCCAATTTCAAAATTTTGTTTTGCGCATGCGCAGTGCCAACTTTTTTATTTATGGAAGAATTTAAACGAAATTTGATACATAGGCACTTGGGATAAAAGAAAATCAAACGCCAATTTCAAAATTAGGTTTTGCGCATGCGCCGTGCCAACTTTTTTATCTATGGAACTATTTAAGTGAAATTTGATACTTAGGCGCTTGGAACAAAGGAAAATCTAACATTAGTTTTAAAATTGAGATTTGCGCATGCGCAGTTCCAACTTTCTTATTTAGAAAAGTATTGAAATGAAATTCTTCTCATAAACTGAAATTGAAGTAGCACGTCAACAATGGATTGCCCATGTGCAACGCTATCTTTCATATTTGTGGGCGGATTTTACGATTTTAACAGAAGTTGCATCTTACAAATGGGAAATGAATGCAAGTGGAAATGCGCTTTATGTAAATCGTTTACGATTACTTTTTAACTTGTTGTAGTTGAAATGATTTCTGTTTCACCCACTTTAGGTATGTTAGTACGAGTACTAAAGAATAGACTGTCAAACTATGACTATAATAACAAAAGTAGTGCAAACTAGTATATCAACCCTCACTTATACAGCTAGCCCCAACCCCCAACGGAATGCAAAAATTCGTTCGGCGAAAAGATAAAAATTAAGTAATTGCCAAAAGAAAAGAGAGTGTAAAGGGATTTAATCTAATCCAAATTGCAAATTAAAAGTTAATTAGGTACTTCATTTCCTGTTTAGTGAAACGAAGATGTATGGTGTGATTTTATAACTCAATGGAACGAGGGTTTTATTCGTTACTTTGAGCAGTCACTAGGTTTCAGTAATGAAAGTCATCTTTTAAAACGTACAGTACCTATACAACAAACTATTTTACATATTATTTAAATAGTGAAGTTAACAAATAGGAAGCATGCTGCAAAAAGTGAGCCATAATATCTTACGCAGATAATCTTCTTTCTTACAGGAAAAATTTTAAGTTATTGGCGTATGAAAATTGACTTGTTTAATATTAAAGAACAATTTAAATTAGTGAA